ACACACACACACACACACACACACACACACACACACACACACACACACATTCCTTTGTTATTTAAAGCCCTTCACAGCCTGGCTATAGCCTGTTTTTCCAGGCTGGTCATACGTTACTCTTCCAAAGCACACCACATTCCTGCCAAACTGGACCACGTGCTGTTCCCTGGAAACACTGTTCTATTTCCCGCCTCCATGTCTTTGCACAGGCAGTGACCTTTGCCTAGAATATTCTCCCTCCTCACCGCTGGCTGCCTTCAAGGCTCCCTCAGCTGTTAGTACCCTCCATCAAATCAGGTTGTATTTATTTTATCTTGTAGTGGAATAGTGACCAGAGAGCCAGGATGATCTGAGTTCAAGTCCTCTTACTCTGCCACCCACTGGCTGTGCGATTCTGGACAAGACACAAACTGTCAGGGCTCTGGGAAGTTTGTTAAGGCTGCGCGTTGGAGAGAAGGCGCCAACCCACATTGGTGAGGGGAATTTCCTCACCTGGAATTCCCTACGGGAAGGTAACTCCTGGCTCGGTTTTCGTATCTGTGAACACGTTGCTTCCTTTCAGTAAAACCCAAGTTCCACGAGGGCCAGGGCTGCCCACTTAAATATTTGTGTTTCCCGCATCTAGCACATTGCCTGGCACACTAATGAATGCTTGTTGATTGATTTATATATGTAAAGAAGTTGCTTCTCTGTTTCTCCCTAATGGGAGGTAACCCCCCAAGCAGGTCCCATCTCTCCTCCCTGTCTTTGTGTACCCACCGCCTGGCATGCAGGAGGTACTTCATAAGTGCTTGTCAAACGGACTGAGAGGTTTTGAAGAGCAACTGAGAGAGAGGGTAATAGAGAGTCCATCAAGAAAGAGCAGAAGGACTCAGTCCAATGCGGTTATTGGTTGAGACAGGGCCATCCTCAAGGACCTACATGTCCCCGGCAGGGTACTGCATCAGCTGCATAGGACATATTGAGTCATTTCAGTGGGAGTACTGGTCACGGGGGAATGAGGAGAGACCCCTGTAGGAAGGGGCCCTGAGCCGAGCCTGGGCGTGAGTAGGGGTCCCAGGAGGAGAAGGTGTGGCGGGAGGGCATTCCGGCATGGGGACCGCCTGGGCAGGATCTCTTCCGGTGATGGTAAGCACGTCAGTTTGGCTGGGATGCTGAGATTGTGAGGAGGGGGAAGGGGAGATTGGTCTGGAAGAGGGAAGAAGAAGCCAGGGAGTGGGCCATGGATTGCCGGGAAGCGGTGAGGGCCTAGTTGAGATTAAACAATGTGAATGTGTAATGAAAGGATTTCAGCAGCCCAGACATAGGAGCAAAGAAGGCGGAGGACGAGGGGGACCGAGGCCAAGGACTGCCGACTCACGAGTGGAGGAAAGAGGAGGGCCAGAGGTAGTGGTGAGCTGAGGGCCAGGACTGGGGAAGAGAGGCTATGAAGGCCTGGGGGACCCGGTGAAGAGGAGCATCGAGTCAGAGGGAGGGAAGGAAGGACAGAGGCACAGATAAGGGAGGGTGACTCCAGAGCTCTGGGTCCTGGGGGGCTCCGCTTACAGGTGATGGTGAGGATGGAGACATGTGACTGAGACTGCGGGAGGCCAGCAGGAGTGAAGGGACAGCAGTAACGCCTCCAAGGACCACAGGGAAGGGACCTCAGAAACCAGCTGGTCCGATATTTTACAGCTGCGGAAACTGAGGTGGAGGGAGGGAGAGGGCCCGGCTTCAGGCCACACGGATAGTAAGCATCAGAAGCAGGAAGAGGGTATGGGTTAGGATGCAGAGGGAGACTGGGAGCTGGACCACGGGACCAGTGATCGGATCGTGGCAGCCAGGACCTGGAGACCATGTAGGCTGTGGGAGGGGGCCTCAAAGTAGAGGCTGCTGAGTGGAAGCAGGTCTGCAGAGCAAGGCCTGTGCCCGCCCCTTCTCCCGGCTCTCGGGGCTGTTGGCTATGAGAGGAGAAGCACCCACTGGCTGCAGGATGGCTCTGTTTCTGTGAGTCCAAGAAGATGGAAAGCATGTGAGAAGATGGGGTCCAGGAGGGAGGTGGTCAATGGCTGCAGAGGGTTCCAGAGGGGAGGCCAGAGGGGGAACACGATTGGGGAGGATGGGGAAGGAGTCAGCAGAGGGGGCTGGGGAGTTAGGCAGGGTGCCCTTGCCAGCCATAGGCTTGGCGACCCATTCTCTGAGGTCCTGGGATGACAGAGAGCAGTGTTGGAGTATCCCAGACCAGAGTGGGCTGCTTCCACTGAGGATGGCTGGTTACCTGTGCGATGGACTTCCTGTTCCCATCCAGGCTGGACTAAATGGTTCTGACATTCTCTGACCCAGGTGGCACCGGGTGACCGGGTGTCACCCATTCTTGGGAATCCGAGAGGCCCAGAGGTGGAGGTGGCATCAGGGTCACAATAGCCGGGACAGCCCGTTCCCAGTGGTTTTGCCCAAGATGTGAGGGGATGAGACCCCCCTCAAAGATATGCCCCTGGTGGCCCACAAGTGTGGCTGAGTTCGGCCTGAGTGTGAGGCCCCAGTCTTTTCATTGCTAAAGAAAAGATGGTGTCCAAGGTCCTGCTTGGGGTGAGGTAAGAGGGGGGTACTAGACCTTGGATCCCCTTCCTCCAGTCCTTTTGGTGTCAGGACACAGATGGCTTCCAGGAGGTGGTGTCCAGCTTGCGCATTGTACCCAGAGGCAGGGAGGTTTGCCCCCAGATCTTTTGCAGAGCTGGGCTTCTCCAGAGCTCCCAAACAGAGGAAGGCTGGTCTCCCCTCTGATGGGGAGGGGCACAAGGAAAGGGGAGGGTCTACCATCCAGGCTGAGAGATCGTCCACGCTCTGAAATTCAGCCAGTCAAAAAATGTTTATTAACCACCCACTGTGTGCCAGGCACTGTGCTGATTAGCCCCGAGGATGCAAGGAAAGGTAAGGGCCAGTCCTTGACCTCAACCTTGAGCTTCCAGTCTGGTAGGGTTACAAGCAAACAAACATATACAAACGAGCCATCTACAAGATAACGAGCGAACGCAAATGAGAGGGCAGGAAGGTGCCAATGAGGGGCTGGGAAGGCTTCCTGTCGAAGATGAGATTGTAGCTGGGACTCAGAGGAAGCCTGGGGTGAGGAGGGAGAACATTCCGGGCTCCAAGATGGCAAACCTTGCTCCCAGAATGGAATGGCCAGAGGCCCGGGTCACCGACACATAGGAAGGCTGGAAAGCACCAGGGGGCGGGGCTGGGTTACCAGCACTTCCTACACCACTCAGGGGATTCTAGATAGGATGGGGGCAGGGGGGTGATAGGGAACCACTGGAATTTACTGATTAGGGGTGACATGGTTGGCCCTATGCTTCAGGAAGAGCCCTTTGGTGACTGAATGGGGGCTGGACTGGGGTGGGGAGGGCTTGGGAAAGCAGACCCTCCAGCAGCTGCTGGCATGCTGTCCATAGTCCAGGCATGAGGTGATGGGGGCCTGCAGCAAGGTCAGAGCAGAGGAAGGGGCGTATTCCAGAGATGCCGCCAAAGTGAGATGGACGGGCCTTGGCCCCATGTTGGATATGGGGGATGAGAGCGAACGAAGAGTCCAGGGTGACTCCTAGGTTGGGAGCCAGAGAGGCCAGGAGGAGGGGTGCCCTGTGTAGGCATAGGGAAGAATGGAGGGCTGGAGGAAGGTAACGAGTTCTGTTTTGAGTTTGAAATGGCTGCTGCACATCCAGTTCAAGATGTCTGAAAAGCGGTTGGGGATGCAAGTTTGGAGCTCAGTAGAAAAGTCGGGTCAGGAGAGGTAGACCTGAGGGTCATCGGCATAGAGATGGTGATTAGATCATGGGAGCTGAGGAGATCCCCAAATGAGGTAGTATCGGGAGGGAAGAGAAGAGAACCCAGGACAGAGTCCAGAGGGACTCCTATGGTGAGAAGGTGCCTGAAGAAGGATCCAGCAAAGGAGAAAGAGAAGGAGCCATGGGGGCGAGAAAGAGAGAGACAGAGAGAGAAGAGAGACAGACAGAGAGACAGGGACATAGACACAGAAAGAGAAACAGAGACAGACAGACAGACAGACAGACAGACAGACACACACACACACACACACACACACACACACACACAGAGGGTCCTGAAAACATGGAGAGTCAGGAGGAGAGAGTGATCAGTGGGGTCAAGGGCTGCACAGAGGTCAAGGAGGAGGACTGAGAAAAGGTCGTTAAGTTTGGCCAATCATCGGCCACTTGGAAAGAGCAGCTTTGGTGGAACGCTGAGGTCGGGAGCTGTGGCTGGATTGAAAGGGGTCAAGAAGGATTTTTGGTGGGGAGGTAAGGGGAGCTCATGGAGGCCTCTCCGAAGATCAGAGCTCTGGATCGATAGGGCCTGGGGGCCCTGGCCAACATTTTTTTTTAGGAAGCAATGAGTCCAATCGCCTTTGCAGAGCTGGGGGCAGGCTAGTAGAGAGCCTTCACTTGGGAACTGAAGTAAGAAGAGCTGGGTTTGAATGCTGCCCGGGTCCCCCAGGAAATCAAAGACAGAGCTAGGGACCTTGCTGCACAGGGATTGGGCCAGATGAGTTTCCAACTCGAACTGTGGGGGTCCTTGCCAGGGAGCAGGATAGGTGGGAGGGGGGAGAAGTAAGGTCCCCCGGCTCATGGTGTGGAAGGCGGGTCCAGGAAGGAGTCCCTTATCAGTGGGCACCATGTAGTGCCAACCTGAGGGAGGGGGAAGGGAGGGAGAATCTCCCGACCCCGTTATCAGCCCAGAGTCCATGGGGACGGTTTTCAGGTTAAAGTGTAACCAGATCCCCCCATTCACCACCCTTCCCCCATGCTTAGGTCACACGATTCTAGGGGTATCTGGACAAACATGGCAGCTCATGGAAGGGAATCTGGGAGGAGGCGCACTCCAGATGTGAGATACCCCCCAACCCCACCCCTGACTGGAAGGCCAGATGCTGAGGTCTCCCAGGGACTGAGCAGCTAGATTCCTGGGCTGTCAATGGGATAGAGAGGGAGGGGAAGGATACCGGAGGGGTCGTGTCAGAAGGCAGGGTCCTCGGGGGCCTGGGGGCTGAGGGCAGGATGCTTTGGTGGGCACTTCAGCGGGCAGGAGGCCTGGGCACCTGGGCTATGCCCCATGGACTGGGTACCCTCGGCCACCTGCTGTTGGCCTCTCTCCAGCCTCTGCTCCTGGCCCTGAGGCTGGGGCCTTTCTTTGCCTCCTGTGCTCTCTACTTCCTCCTCTGGCTGCCCTCAGACGAGCCCAGCTGGACCAGTGCCCTGGTCAAATGCCTCCCCGTCCTCTGTCTGGCTCTCTTAGTCCACACCACTGCACCCTCGGGACCCTATGGCCGATTCATCTGGGTAGGCCTCCTCTGCTCTGCCCTGGGTGACGTCTTCCTTATCTGGCCCGACCAGTTCCTCTTTGGTGAGTGGGGGGCGGTGGGGCAGGGCTGATGGGGTGGGGACGGGATAGCAGCAGGAACGGGGGGACAGCCCTCGGCGCCTTCTTTCCATGATAAAATTACCCCCAAATCCCTGAATCAGGAGTGGAGGGCAGAAGGTTCCTTCAGGGGTTTTGGCTAAGACCCTTTGCCTTCTGAGCCGCAGTTTCCTCCCGCATAAAATGAAGAGGTTGGAACACGACCGAGGTTCCTTCCAGAATGTGGCCAGGAGAAAGTCCGTCCCCAATCTCCATTGTCCAGAATCTGCAAGGGGAGGGTCTCCAAGGCCCCTCGGGGCGGGAGGGGGCCAGGTCCCTCTCTGGCCTCGAAGGAAAGGGTTGGATTGGACATTTAAGGCCCCTCCTTGGATAAAGTCCTAGAAAGTGTGGCCATGTGACCTGGAGAAGAGGAGGGACCAGAGGCTAGTTCAATTACCTCGCTTTACATATGAGGAAACTGAGGCTCAGGAAGGGGAAGCGATTTGCCCAGAGTCACACGGGTAGGATCAGAGGCAGAACTGAACGCTGTTCCTCTGATGGCTAATAGTGGGAGAGTCTGGCTCAGGAGGTAATGAGTTCCCCATCCCCAGTAGGATGCAAGCATAGGATGTGACTGTTTCTCAGATGCTATTGAGAAAAAGACCAAGGGGTGTGTTTGCTCCTAGAACTTCCGAGCTACAAGGGGCCTAGACATTGAGTTCGATGCCCTCCTTAGGGAAGACAAGAGATTGGTTTCCAAGGGCTCCCAGTGGGACACTCCTGATTCTGAGGCCTGGGTTCAAATCCACTCTCTGAGATCTTGGGTGAGCCCCAGCACTTGAAACCAGTCCCCATCCCAGTCTCTTTCCTCCCAGGTAAACTTCCCTAATCCGTGGCATTTGATAGCAGAGGAGGCTGTGACCCAGAGCGGGGAGGGCCTTTCTCTGGGTCGTCCAGAAGCAGGGTGCCCAGGCCAGCCTCCCAATGGCCGGCCCTTCTTTGCAGGCACGACGGCCTTCGCGGCGGCTCATCTCTTCTATGTCCGCGCCCTGGGCTGGCTCCCGCTCCGGCCGGCCCTCCTGGGGTCTGTGCTGGCCACCTTCGGCCTCTACTTCGGGGTCCTGCAGCCGCACCTCCCGTCCAGCCTGCACCTCCCCACGCTCGTCTACGCGGCTGTCCTGGGTCTGATGCTGTGGCGGGCGCTGGCCCGAGGGACACCCGCGGCGCTCGGCGGCCTGCTCTTCAGCGTCTCGGACACCGTCCTGGCCTGGGACACCTTCGTCCGGCCCCTGCCCGCGGGCCGTCTGATCGTCATGGTCACCTACTACTCCGCCCAAGCCCTGCTGGCCCTGTCCGCGGTGGACAGCTGACTGAGCTCGACGGCGCCCTCGAAGGCGAGATTCCAGGGCGGACCCGCGGCTTGGAGCTGGGCACTGGGCTTTTCCGGGAGCCCTCCTGCCGGCTCATCACCCTCCTGCATTTGTCTCCCTCCCCCCCATTCGCGGTCCCTCCTTCCCCCCTCCACGAGCCCCTCGACTGAAATTCTTCCTCCCCCACTGCCCACACTTCCCTCCCCACCCCCGATGGAGGGCTCCTCCTCTAAGACCCTGCCGTGATGCCGGCCCTCGTTGTCTACGCCACCACCTTCCCCGCCTAGTAAAGTCGAGAGTGCAAACGTGTTAGTCGTCTGTTATTTTGGGAGGGCCGGACGGTGGCACAGCCTCTGATGGCTTGGAGCCCACCTTCTTTCCCGGGAAGGTTGCTGATCCCCGTCTAACCTCTCTCTATCGTCCTGAGGCCTCTTGGGGGAAAGTCATCAGGTCTCTCTGGGGCTCGGTTTCCTTTTTTTGTGAAATGAGAGGTTTGGTAGTGTTGGTTTCTAAGCTCTTTTTTTCCTTTGGTAACTGAGCTGTGAGGAGACCTGGGGAGGGAGGGAGGAGAGAGATGAGGGGATAAGGTGGGTAAATGTTCGGTCATTCATTTGTGTCTGACTCTTTGCCGCTCGATTTGGGGTTTTCCTGGCAAAGACACCAGAACGGCTTGCCATTTCCTTCTCCAGCCCATTTTACAGGCAAGGAAACTGAGGCAAACAGGGTGAAGTGACTTGTCCAGTTAGTAAGTGTCTGAGACAGGATTTGATACCAGAAAGGTGAATCTTCCCGACTCCGGGCGGGGCACTCTATACACTATGGCGCCACCTAGTGGCCAAAGTGGCATTTGAAAGGGTAACGCTCCCTTCCCCTCTTTCTGTGTTGCCTCCCCCCATTAGAATGCAAGCTCCTGGAGGCAGCTAGGTGGCTGGGGGATAGAGCACCAGCCCTGGAGTCAAGAGGGACCGGAGTTCAAATCTGACCTCTGACGCTTGACACTTCCTAGCTGTGTGACCTGGGCAAGTCACTTTACCCCATTGCCTGGCCAAAAAAAAGAAAGAAAGAACGTAAGCTCCTTGTGGGCACGGACTGCTATGTTGGAATGCTTATAAATGCTTTCTCTGTTCAAGGCTCAGGACTGCCTGGAGATACTCTGGGGCCAGACATTAGCTCTCTCTGGGGCTCACTAATTCTCCATAAAATGGTGGAGCTGTAGACAAAGATCTCCAAGTCCCCTTCCCACGCTTCCACCCATGATTCCCTGTCTTTGCCTTTCGGCTGGAGGTGCGAGCTCTGGTAATTCCTCTCTGAGCCTCAGTTTCCTTGTTTGTTAAAAAGTGGGGGGGGGCTGGTGAAAAGAGCCAGTCATCCGTTGTTCTGGGCAGGAATGTAGGCTGGGTCTGAGGAATCCGAGAGGGAAGGAGGACTGACTGGGGTGTGTGGAGGGCACGAAGGGGAGGGGTCAGTCCCTTCTCTTTGTTCGCTTCCTCCCCCCACTTCTCTTCCTCCTCCCCCTTCTCCCCTCTGTCCTCTTTCTCCACCCAAGGCTATTACCTATGTCACCTGGAGCTCAGAGAAAGGAGAAGCTGTTGGGGTGAAAGTCCAGAAAGAGGGTATAGAACTGGGAGTCTCAGACACCTGTCTTTCTCTTCTCTCTCTCTCTCTCTCTCTTCCATTTCTCCCTTCTCTCTCCTTCTCTGTTTCCCTCTGGTGTCCGGAGTCATGAGTGGGCTCTCCCCTGGGCCCTGGCGTCTGCTAAGTACGGTGGTGAGTGTCCCTGCTATGAGGGAAGGGGCTGCCAGTTCACACACCCAAGTCACTGGGTGGCAAAGCCTTGTGGGGGTTGGGGATACCTAAGCTCGTGGGGGATAGATGGGGTCCCTGAGGGAGTATGGTCTTCGGACTTGAGTGCCTGGAACCTCTAAGGGGATAGACTGGGGAAGATTGTGGCAAGTTCCAAGGACCGGGACTCCTGGGTCCTGTCATCCCCTATGACGTCTACTGTAAACAATTTTGACACCCATCAGGAGCCATGTTGGGGGGGGTTCAGGTGTCCTGCCCCTTTCTCCTCGTAGGAGTCCCCCTACCCCTGTCCCTGGACTGGGGCTAATGCTTTTTCTCTTGGCCTGGAGCCTGTAGTGATGGCTGAGTGTTAGCAACTGCACTGATCCAGACTTGGGTTTCCCTGGGGCTCCTTCCTCTTTCTCTCTCACTGCCTCCCTTCAAAAAAATGGGCGGGCCGATATTGGGGTGAACTTTGTCTGAAGGAGTTGCTGAAGGAAGAGGGAATTCCAGCCCTGCCCTGCTTTCAGCTGGAAGGCTTTACTGTCACCTTTTATGTATTCTTCCCAACAGGTCCTGGTGTGCTGGACGGGGTACTTGGCAGCTGGTGAGTGGTAGACCTCTCCCAAGAGCTTCTGTTTGCCCCTCGGAGGGCCGAGAGGACCCTTCCCAAGCTAGGCTGGGTTGTGTAAGGGGTGTGGGGAGTTCAGAGGGTCCCTCGAGTGCCTCCCTAGCTGAACCTCCTCCTGCCTGCCTCTCAGCCCAGGAAGAGATCTCGGCCTTCTATGTAGACAAACAGAGCAATACCTCTGTCACCCTGAAGTGGGAGCCGCCTAATAACAACTATACTGTCACCTGGGCTAAGGATGGCCAGGTCATCGGGACAAACGACACTTCAGATATTCAGTACACCGTGAACCACCTCCAACCTGGGACAGCATATGAGTTCACTGTCCGTGTCCAGGGAAACAGCTCTGGAAGGAGCCTCAATGCATCCACATGTGAGCTTCTGCCCTACCTAGCGGTTGTAAGCACTGCAGAGGGAGGGCAGAAGGGAAGAGCAGCAGACTGGTCCGGGGCTCCATGCTGGGCACTTTCTAGGCCCCCACCCCACTCATCCTTGCTATAGTTGACAGGAAGTTTCCCCAACTATCGTAATTACAATGCTTTCTCCTTGTTGATTATTTCCTATTTATCCTGTATATAGCTTGCTTTGCATACATTTGATTGTATGCCTCCCCCATTAGATTGGAAGCTCCTTGAGGGCAGGGACTGTATTTTACCTTTTTTTGTATCCCCAGAGCTTAGTAGGCCCTTAATCAATGCTGATTGAGGATTGGGAACTTGCTAGGACTGACATTCACTGTTTTATTAGGTTTCACTAGATGTCCTTACCCCTTATTCAATCTCAAGTACTCATTATGACTCTAGTGGAAAGTGGGGTTGAAGAGAAGGGACAACTGAAGGTCATAATGCACTAATCTAGGTCACACTAGATCCCCTGGACCCACTGGGCCCGACCACTCCTCAAGCTGACAGGCCCCTTTGTTGGAGAGCATCCTTTCTTCCCCACCAGGTCAATCCAAGGACTCAGTCCCTTACCTCTGCTCCGAGGTACTTGGTGGGGAGGATGGGAGGCCCTTCGCCCACCCACTTTCAGTTCTCACCTCTCACCCAGTGCCCAATGAAGTCCAAGACCTCAGGATGGATGCCCGGAGCAACAGCTCAGTCACCCTGAAGTGGCTGGCCCCCGATGGCCCCCAGCCTGCAGATTACACCTACTGGATCAGCTGGGGCAGAGAGGATGGCCTTGCTGGTCAAAACCACACAACAGAGATGGGGCATATAGTGGGCAGCCTGGCCCCTGCCACAGTGTACAATTTCACAGTGACAGCTGAGAAGAATGGTGTCCACAGCTCTGGCCAGAGCATCCAGGAGGCCACAGGTGAGATGGGGGCTGTGCTCTGGGGCTGGTTCTGTGGGAGGTGGGCCAGGGAGCCCAGGGGCTCC